CCTGAGGAGACTGTCTAGCTGGCAAGGTCTAAAGAAAAGTCACACAGTCAAGGGTCTAAACCTCGGGTTGTGTATGCACTGTACACACAATAACTACGGGCAGGAAAAGGCCGCTGTGCAAAGCGGGCATGCCACCTCATCCTCATCCGAATCAGCAGCTCCTCGCAACTCTCCACTTAAGCGCAGATTCAAAGAACAGCCGGCACTTTGGGGAGGAGCCCTCTACAAGGCTGCACTGAGCTCTTCAGGTTCCGCTGTTGCCCAAGTTTTACTTGCACATCTTAGATCTTACTGTCAGCGGCCACAGCAACACCAGCGGTGCGTGGCAGTGAAATGGAGGATATGGAACTCAGAGTAAAGTCCTGTGAATCTCTCGTGCGCACAGAGCCGGAGCAAAAAAAAAAAAACTCTGCAGGACTACAGCAGGCCTCGGGTGAGGCGGCCATTGCTGACGTTGCTGTTCCGACGACCTCCGCGGGCCTGGGCAAGGAGCGGCAGAAGGAAGTCGAAGTTTCGGGCAGAGGGCCCAGTGCACTCTGAAGAGGATGCGAAGCATGTAAAGCCAAAGGGCTGTAAGCCTTGCAGCTCTAGGGGTTACCGTCTGCACCCTCAACCCCTACTCAAACCACCTGGCAAACCTCAACCCCACAAACCCTTACAAACTGTAAACTTCTAAGCCCCTAAACTTCTAAACCCTGAACAAATCACCCGAAAACACAAATACCAATACGAAGAATCATGATAAAACGATGATTCCACCCAAAAAGCTTGAGCCCCCCGAGTTGGGGTCGCGGCCCCGGTCACCTGAAGGTGCTGCATGCCCCCGGTGCTGGCCGGCCGCTGGGGTGGCGGGGCCGCGTACCAGCCCTTGCCGTGCTTTAGGGTTTGGGGTTTGGGGTTTGGGGTTTGGGGTTTGGGGTTTGGGGTTTGGGGTTTAGGGTTTAGGGTTTAGGGTTTCAAGTCTTGTGGGTCAGGGTTTGGGGGCTTCGGGCAGGGGGACTAGGTACGGAATGCCGGGCAGCAACCGCTCAAACAGCTGCTATCCTAGCATGGCGAGGAATCGGAGTCAGCGAGCATCGAGAACTCAGGGCTGGGTGACGTCAAGGTATGGGGGTTGATCAGAGAGGTCCTTCTGGGAAATTATCCAGTGTTCCAAAATTGGTTTACAAGGGAGATATAGGGCAATTCATGAGAACAGGTGTTTTGACCAACTCCAAGAATCTTCCGCATTAGGGCAATATAGGGATTAGCATTCCTTTTTTTTTTTGGGGGGGGGGGGGGGAGGTTCTTAAGCAATAGTAGCTAAGCCCGAGACTCCCTACATACTCAACCTCGATGTAAGGAGCCCCAAACACGAGCACCAGCAAACTTCAGAGCCTCGTCCCCACAGTCCGTCAGTATGCTGGGGTACTTGGTCATCATCATGGCATCCTGACGAGACTTTTCGAGATTGTGGGGTTGAGGGCAGGAGCCACGGGGCTTCCCCCTTAAGGGCTTCTTTTGTACTGGAAGCCACTTGTAAAAGGGGAGCCGCTTTGGGGAATGCAGGGTTGGGCTTAGGATTTAGGGCTCCAAAAAAGGCACGAGAGCCGACTTGGCATCTTCGCTTCTGGGCCTCCATGTCATCCTCGTCACCTGGGCAAGGAGGACGCTCCGAGAAAACCACGCAACCGCCTGAACCGCCCTCAGCGAAGCAACTCGCCCGACCTCTTCCAAGCTTGATGCCGCTGTTGCGCCGGCCCTGCAGTCAGGGGGGGCCGCGAGGGCTGCGGTCACAGCGTCTAGGTTCAAGATGTTTAAGGGCTTTGCGTACGGTATGGGTTCAGGGCTGTGTCTAGTTCAGACTCCCCCCCCCTCCGGCCTGCCAATAGGTCAAGTTCGGCATGGAGTGCATGGGCTGCACACCCTGGCAAGTCCAACAGAGAAGAACCCCCCAAATCCCTAATTTCTGCTTTGCAATATTATGCACTAGCGCTCCACGCAAAGCTCAATCGCAAAACCCTGCCACCTGCAAACCCTGAGGAAGGGGCTTGCAGGGTGCAGGGTGCAGGACCCCAAATTCACCAACCAAGTCCCCCCCACCCCCGCCCCACCCCGAGGCCCCCGAAGCCAACGAGCTCACCTGGGGGTTGCTGCTAAGGAACTTAAACTAAGCTGCCATAGAACACAGGAAGCATATTGCAAGACCCACATCATTGGTGGCAACTTCACCGACTCATCCCCTAACAGCAACCCACACCACCAGCCACCTCGTCGTAGCTGATGTCGGTCATCATGCTGTTGAACTTCAAGGTTGCTGGGATCCCCTGCATCGGGGGGCTTTACTTCGGGAGAAAAAGGGCCGGGGAAAAGGAGGGGTGGGGGGGACGTCTGAGAGTGACCTGGGGGGTGCTTAGGGTTCAGAATCTTCTGGGCTCTGGGGGCTTTCTAGGGCTTGGGGACATGTTTTGAGTTCAGGGTTGTAGCCCACCCGCCATAGGCTTTCGGCACTGCAAGCGTTTCGACTCTTGCTCAATTCCGTAGGACTTTAGGGCTTTGTGGCCTTAAGACGCAAGTCCCTAAACCTGATACATCTTCACACCCAATGACCCTAAACTGGTAACCCCAAAGCCCCAAAACCCTGAACCCTTCTAAACCCACCTTACAAACCCTCAAAAACCCTTCATAGACCCTTGTAAACCCTCTTATAAACCCTCAAAAACTCTTTATAAACCCTTGTAAACCCTCTTATAGACCCTTAATAAACCCTTAGCCAGGCTAGAAGCACTTCCCCTGAAGCAGGCGTCCTCGTCATCCTCCAGGCCGCCACGTGTGCCCGTGCTCCGGGCCTGTTGGAGGAGGGTTCAGGGTTCAGGGTTTCGGGTTCAGGGTTCAGGGTTTAAGGTCTTGGGTCTAGGGTTTAGGGTCTAGTTTAGGTTCGCTTTCCGGCTGCCCAAGAAACTGGACCTTCTTCTTGCAACTGGAGCTTGTCTACTCATCTTGGGGACGAGGGGTTCAGCCCCGTCCCTCCCACACAAAGAAGCGCAGCACCACCGAGCAGAGGTGGGGAGTAGCGTTTTATTTAGATGCCACAGCTCTGACTGCAGCCCAGCGACGCTCAAGGGAATTCTCATGTGCGCCGCCGAGAACACGCCCTGCCCGGGGCATTTTGCATCCCAGGTCGAGATCGTTTTCTAAGAAGGTGCTTTGAAACCGCAGGAGAGAAAGCATGACATGTCCCCAAGGGCTTGCTCGGAGTTCGGAGTTCTCCCTACCTGTGACTCGCGTGAGAAGCTGAGAAGCAGGTGCTGCTGCGTGGCATAAAGCACTTCCGCAGAGGATATACAGTAGGCTATGCTCGAAGACGGTTTCTACGAGTAAGACATCTCAAACAGTGATCTGGCGCCGGCCCGGTTCAATCCATAGTCTCCCCAAAACCTTCAAGACCCTTAAGGCCCCAAATTTCAGCCTTGCGCTTACTGGACCTTTGGGGCCATACCTTCCGCCACTATCTTGCACCCTTCCCACAAAGCTCTTCAACCCCTGCAGTTCCTGCACCCACCGAAGTACTGAGATGCTGTAACAATGCATTGAAACATGTGCCCCTCGCCAGCCCTGCCTCGTCTCCAAAGATGTCAGTTGTCTTTGTCGACTTGCTCACGTCCTGCCGCGGCGGCTGGCGACGCAAAACGGGAAAGACCCCCTGAAGGCAGCAAACTCACCTTGCAACTCTTGCCAAGGCGCAAGAATCAGCTCGCTTTGTAAGTACTTATTACAACTTGGGCCCTGATACTGGTGCAAGAAAAGGGCTAGCACCAAGAGAACGGCCACATTTCGCATGCAGAGAGTAGCATGCGGGCTTGGGGAGTAAAAAGCTGTTCGGCTGCAACATCTACCCACACCACCGACAGGAAAAGGTACCATGCCCCTAAACCCTAAACCCGAAACCCTCAACCCTCAGGCCCTCAACCCTAAACCCTAAACCCTACGCCCGGAGCTCCTGGCTACCAGGTGACTCCAAACAGTCGCCATCCTCGGAGACGTGGGGGGGGGGGGGTTGGGGGGGGTTGGGGGGGGGTTGGGGGGGGGTTGGGGGGGGGGTTGGGGGGGGGTTGGGGGGGGGGGGGGGGGGGTGGGGGGGGGTTGGGGGGGGGTGGGGGGGGGTTGGGGGGGGTTGGGGGGGGTTGGGGGGGGGTTGGGGGGGGGGGGTTGGGGGGGGGGTTGGGGGGGGGGGTTGGGGGGGGGGGTTGGGGGGGGGGTTGGGGGGGGGTTGGGGGGGGGTTTTGGGGGGGGGCCAAACTGCCCCACAAGCTATCCCAAACTACCCTACACCCCAACTTTCTTGTAGTGGTTCGGGTTCCTTCAGGGCAGAGGTTAGCAACTTCGGGCTACGCGTGAAGGGTTCAGGGCTTGGGATACTTCGAGGTTGAGGGTTCAGGGCCGAGTTTTTAGGGGTTTAGACATGTTTAGAAAACTGGGGTTCAGGGCTCTTCCCTGTTGTCACCACTCCTGATCTCTGCTCGCCTGCGGTGAGGCAGTAGTCGGACTTATTGTAGGCACATCCTGGCAAACTCGGCAGGGTGCCAAGAGCCCAGAATAGGTTTATGGGGGTTTTATGCAAAGGTCCGAGCGTCAGCTACAAGACTCGCTTTTATGTGACGTGGTGCCAGGAAACACATGGGAGAATCCCCCCCCCCTCCCGCCCCGCCTCGCTGATGGCGTGCATGCTCTTGGCGCTGCGAGAGCTCAGCGTGTGGCCCACGGCTAAGTGATCTGTGGCCTCAAGAAAGGGCTCTGCAAGGCCCTGCCTGGCTCTGCTCTTTTTTTTTATGTACCTGAAAGCCCCAAGGAGATCCTCGCTGGCCTGAACTGCTTCGGCCGGTATGCTAAGGCAGCTAAGGTTTGATGAGGGTTGCAGGGCCACGTGATGGACCAGAGCCTCGCCATGTGCGCGTGACGAAGCAGCTGAGGAAAGCGCTGGCAAACGCAGGTTGCTCAATGGATTTGCCTCATTTGAGGACCTGAGCGTCGGAGGTGGTGTATGAGGAGTTGTTTGGAGTTCCAAACAGTGCAACCCATGACCCCAGTACCAGCAGCTCTCTTGCAGGCAGAGCCCTGATATCTCGAAACTCGGAGCTATTGGGGGCAGCCTGGGAGGAGAGTAAGAACTCAGACGCACCTGGGGCCGCCGGGGCCGAGGACTTCGGCACTTGAGGGCCTTTTTTCAACTCGCATCGGCCTCGCACGTCCGCGCTACTAGCACCTCGGCTGCGCTCTTTTGGGTATCGGGACTCTTGCCCCCCTCTGCAGCTGATCTTCCCAAGACCGGTGCGAGACTACTTACCTGACCTGGGCTCTACATACCACACAACATCCACAATTTGTGATTCTAGTCTCCTACCATTGCCATCGGTGCTCCCTCAGTGTTAGCTAAACATTGAGTCACAGCGGCAGGACCTTCTCAACACTGCACACACAAGAAGGCCTCGCGACACGTAGAGTCGTAGAGATTTGCTCAGCCAAGTCACGGTCTCCTGGTGCATGCCATGGTAGGGCAAAGTGCCCCCGGTCTCGGACCGGTACATGGCGTGCAGCGTGCGGAACTCCCGCCGCCCGGATTGGAAGCCGCGGACTACCTGGAGAGGGAGGTTGGTCTTTGGGTTTGGGGACGCTTGTGAGCTTGAAGGGTCAAAGTACTCGGAACTCTGCCACTCCTTCTTGGCCCCAAGGCCAGCTCGATGAAGTCCTTTACGCAAACCCCTTGAACCATAGAAACATGCCAACGCGACCGCAAACCCCATCTCCAAGCCTCGAAAACCCTGAGCCCTCCTTGATGTGCTCGTCGTCGTTGTGCAAGAATCGCTGCCAGCGCTGCGCCTCCTCCAGCGCGCCTGGGCTGCAAGCCTCGATGGGCAGGTCCTCGAAGTTCTCCTCCACATGTGTTGGGATTCAGTGGCTTAGGGTTAGGACTTGGCGATGAAAGGATTGTGGGGCTCTTGGGCCCTTAGGAGATTTGAGGGTGGGTCTGGTGCCGAAAGGTTTGGGTGGACGAGTCTGTGGCCCAATCGCTGTTGCCCGAGACTTCAACCTAAGCCCTCCTTGCCCCTAACCCTCAACCCTGCAAACAGGGGCTCGAACACTGCACCAGCGCAAATCACGTAGCCACCGGAGTGATTATGGCATGTGGGGAATGGAGCTCGCCGGCTTCTGCAAGGAGCCTTGCACGATCGACGGCGGTGAATGCGAAGATACAAAGTCCAAAAAGAGTCGACACTCCACCTGGCGCTGCACCAGCACGGTGGCTTGCAGTTTTTCGTGAAGACGCTGACCGGCAAGACCATCGTGGCTTTGGATGTTGATGCTTCCACGGCTAAAGATGCGAAAGCTAAGATTCAGGACGCGGAGAACGTCCCGCGCTGCGCCTGCGTAGTGGCATGTTGCTCTTCGTGAAAATGCTGTCTTGCCTCTTGCCGGCTTTCACTTAGGACGTTGAGGCTTTCACGTGAAGATCCGGGAAGTTGTTTGGACATGGCGGGGCATCCCGCCCAGGCCGACTGCTTTTTTAAGCCAACAATCATCCAGAAAACGTCGAAGCTCCGCCTGCGCTTGCGCTTGGCTGCTAGGTCTTTTCTCTCTGCAAGCTTTGTGCTTTTCGCGGATCTAGGGCGAAACAAGTCCCTCATCCAAATGTATACCACGTGGGCTTGTGCATATCAGTTGCTTTGTCTGTGTTTGTAATACAAACTTTGTATCGTTGCTTGCTGCTCGCATGGCCCAGGCTGCATGCACGCAGTCGTTGTGCTTAAAAAGTTGTGGCCATGTTCGAGGGTGCCTGACCTGTTGTGTGTTCCCGATCTTTGACATTGTGCAGCGGCCTGTGGGTGGTAGATTGCGTCTTGAAAGGACCCAATTCGAGGAACAACTCAACCCGCGTGGGAAGGCATGCTCCTGGCCGATGGCCCTGCTGACGGGCATTTCACGACCTCTACTCCAGGGACTGGTGCCCTTGTCAGGAGTTTGCCCTGACTTCCAGGCATGATTTTTAGGCAACGTCCCGTTGAAACAGAACAGAAACAGAACAGAAACAGAAACAGAACCAGAACCAGAACAACCCTCACCCAATCCCGCCCTCATGCCTGCAACAGCCCAGCAAAGAATCGGCGGTCGGCGGCCTTCATCGCCAGGTCCTAGCAGCTGCGAGCCCCCAACCTTAAAAACCCGAACACCCCAGACCCTCCGAACCCCTTGTTACCAGCGGCCCTCGTGCAGAACAAACCCTAAACCCTAAACCCTAAACCCTGTAGACAGTTGTACCAGGCCAGAGCACCTCACGCACGGACTCATCGTTCACCCCGCCGATGGCCCAGATGCCGCTGAGGACTCCCTCGGATAGGTAGCCCACCAGGCTCCTTTGAAGTGTACCCGTTAAGAGGAACTGCCTTTAGAAAAACAAAAAAACAAATATGAATAACAAAGAAAGAAGGTACCATGGGTCTCACATCGCTGGGGGCGTACTTGGAGCACTAGGCATTCCCCAAGCGCCTTTGAGCTTGTCCGAGGCCGAGAAGGCTGACCAAATTCCACCAAGACAATGAGCCAATGAATGCCGATTTTGTCTGAAAATCTCATACTGACCTATTTAATCGTCTACATGCGTGTATGTGCAAAGGTGCACATGGACTGGAGATCAATGCAGAGTCTTGTGCAACGGCATGCCATGACGTGAAAGGTAGCGTAGAGGAATGTCATGTCGTGTATTGCATGGTGTCGGCCTTCACTAAAGCCCTGACTCCCCTCCGCCCCGAACCATCACCCCGAACCCTAAACCCTCAACCTCCACAACCCCAGACCCCCCAAACCCGAAACCCGAAACACCCGAAGCCCAAACCCAAACACCAACTCAGGAGGCCCAGCCCAGAAATTCCTTGCGCTCCTGGGCAGGGCCGTCAACTCCGGGACCAGCAGCGGCGTGTGCACCTTTTGGATGGAGGGCCCGGCGTGAGAATAAGTCGCATAGGGGCTTAGGGTTCACGATTTATGGTTTAGGGGTGTCGGGTTTAGGGGGAAACTTTAGGTTATAGAAAGCACCCCAAGAAGTTATCCAAACTTTGGATCAGATCCCTCTTCGGGCAAACACCCCTTCAGGAGTCCGGCTCACAAAAGCCGGTGAAGTCCGCAAATGAGAATCCCCAACTTTAAAGCAGGTGAAGGGCTCTGTGTGCGCGCCAATTACTTGAGGGTTGAGCTTCGGAGCCGGGGAACAACCCCGGATCTTCGTGCATCTTCCTCGGGTACGATGCTCTTTGGGGGGCTTCAGGGGGCGATCTTGGAATCTGATACCCGTCAAGGCTAATTTTCGGGTTCGTGGTGTGAAAGGCATGCTTTGGGGTTTAGGGTTCCCAGGGTTCAGGGTTCAGGGTCTGGGGGTGTAGGCCTAAGGAAAGCTTAGGGCTCTAGTGTTCGGGGCGTGAGGCGCTCTATTCAATGCCTTGGCACCACACGCACCGCCCGTTCGTGAAGGCCTGCCACCGTCAGCTGCTCAATGCCACCTGCCGCCACCGAGGGTCTTCAAGAAATGCGCGGAGGTGCAGGATCGGGTCGCTTTTCGGAGCCAGAAAGGACACTCAGTTTAGAGAATCGTGTAGACTCGTAGACGCAGCCGCGCATGAAATGACATAGGGAGGTGTTCCCAGATTGCTGCCCGCTGCCCCGGTTCTACACCAACACGACTCTCAATATCCCAAAGCTGCAGCTCATTCACGTGAGGAGGTGAGCCAAGACCTGGACCCTTCTTACCTTGAAGGAGCTTGCCTACCTCCCAAGCGCAGCACTTCCGTAATCTCAAGGCTGGTGGGCTCGGGGGGGGGGGAAGAATCATACCCTGACCCTCAACCCTAAACGCACAACCATGTGTAGCTGTCATTAGATATCATTCGCTCGTCGGTAGCGAATGACCGCTGGCAACCTACTGGGCTGCCTGGGGCACGGTACAGGGCACGCAGCGCCGAGGGGCTCAGGACCAGGCCCGGCCGCACGTCGATGGCCTCGGTGTTGCGTTTTTGGGGTTTGGGGTCTAGGGCTCCCGGGTGTTAGGGCTTTGGGGGTTTTGGGGTGTTCAGGTAAGAAGGGCTGTAGGGCCGGAGTAGGACTTTAAGGCTCTAGGGCTTTAGCTCTTTTCTTATCGGACTCTCGTGCGTGCAGTCGTGCCGGACCCCAAACGCAAGAATCTTGGCACCTGGCCCCATCCTGCAGGAAAGCAAAGGCCACGCCTCAAAAACAGAAGGTGAGAGAGGGCTCATGGGGCTTAGAGGACTTGTGGGACTTAGCTGGGCCTGTCGGGCTTCGTCGGCGCATAGGTCTTAGGGTTTGAGACCGAATGTACGGCCGAGGAGCTACCCACTTCCAGCCCAGAGCGCTGCAGTTCCTCGGGCTCTGCCGCAGGCTGGAGCGAACGTGGGTTTGAGGGTTTTCGACTTGAGGGTTTGGGGTTCGGGGGACCGACGCCCTCAAAAATCCTGGAGCCCCACGGTCTGGAGTTAAAGTTTTGGACCATAAGCTGAAGGGCCTTGGGACGACAAAGCACCCGAACCCTGAACCCGCTGCAGGTCACCTCTAGGAAGGCGCCCAGTGCGGGCCGGTGGAGCCAGGCGCCCCCTGGCCGCAGCAGGGCCCAGCGCCCCTCGTGCCGGGCCTTTGAGCTTTGTCTTGGGGTTTCGGAACCCAAGAGCCCTATAAACCCCAAACACAAAAGGGTTCGTCGGCTTTAGGGCTCAGATCTTGTCAGGGCTCATGGAACGCCCCTTGTAGAACAGGTTCCTAGAAGGAAGGCATGTCCACAAACCCCAATGTTGCACCTGCCTTGCTGTGCCGCCCCTCCCCCCCCCTGAACAGTCGAAGCAGTTTGGGCTCACTTTACGCGGCTTTTTGATTTTGGGACGAGGTTAAACGGGACAGCGAGGCCCGGCAATTGACTCTAAAGGCGCCCCGCACGAAATTGTCTTACCGCTCCCGCTTTATTTGA